AGAGAGATATAGTAAAAAAAATAAAAAAAAAAAAAAAAAAAAAAGCATGTAAAACATTTAATTCTCTTTTAATGAAAAAACAAGAATTTCATTATTTTCAGGAGTATTTGGGAGTATCCTTGAAGAAAGCAATTCTAATTTCACAGTCACAACCTGTTAAGGAATTCTTTCTAGTCCTCAAAACAAAACAACACCCTTGCCAGTGGGAGGCGAGGCATGTGAGAAGTAACTCTTAGAAACCGTTGACAGGAATCATCTCTTTCAGTGCCCGGTGCTCGTGGAGTAAGGCGCGTGGGGGCAGGAGTGGGCAGCCTGTGGGTCTGGAACCCCATCTATATTCCTGGCCATTTATTCTGCAATTTGGCACTGAAAATGGGGATCAGGGTTTGAGATGTTTAAACCAATAATTTTTACATGACATCAAGAAAGAAAAGAACATTTGGCCTGTTTCTGGCAACCCATCAACATTACAAAAGGGATCCCCAAATAGCTCATGGTAGCATTGAGTGTGATCCAGCCTGCCCATTTCTGAATGGAGTTGAGAGATAACATATATCTCAAACAGAATGACTTTCTCTTCCAAATAACCAACATGGTACTTCTCCATTTAACAGAGAGGAACATACAAGAGACTCCAAATAAAGCATGAAAGACACCTAAACCATCCATTCAAAACAAATCCTTAAATCCTAGTGAGGTCCCGCATTACTTACATTCATCCCACAGAGCTAGCCATTGCTTGGTGATTTTTCTAGCAGTAGAAACTAGGTAAATCTGAACCGGTAAACCTGTTAGGGGAACAAAATTGAAAACGAAAGTCCTTTGGAATTGATTTTCCACAGGGTAGGGATCGAACCCGTGACCCTGCGGTGCGTGGCCAACACGCTAACCACTGAGCCAGGCTGGCCAGGGCAACAGATGTTTATTTCTCACTAACGGCCACACTCAGTGAGCACACACTGTGTCTTACACACAAGATCTCCACTAACTGGCATGACCCCCTCGCCTCTACCTTTTATGCATCTGTGAATATGCCTTAGTGTAGGCTCCTGGAAGTCAGCTTCAGCAGTTATTTTGAGGAAACACTTTCAGGCTACAATTCATGGCTTCCAAACTAATCTAAGGTCTTTGCATTTATGCAGAAAGAAAAAAACTGCTCTAAGAGCTTGAAAATAGAGACAGTGCCTGGCCCATCACTATGGGCTTTTTAGTTTAGTTTCTTTTTGGAGCAAAATAAGGGACTCTTTCAACTGATTTTAGATATTGTTACAAAATATAGTTTTTTTAAATAATTGATTTAGCAGAAGAGAAAACTCAATTTCAAACGCATCCCCCTTGTTTTGTGATCTGTCTCCATTCATCAGATCATTGATTTTCTACCGTCTAGACTTCGTCGCCCTCAAGGTTCCTTCAGATAATGTATTCACTATCCCGTGACAAAGCAACTCTAGACTGAGTTTTTATTTTAATAACTGCATTGCCCAGTTCATTTCTAGAGAGAGAGTTTTCTTTCCAGAAATCAACCTCATAAAAGTAAAAATAGAAAAAGTATCATTTTTCCAAATAATTTTATTTCAGGGAAAACAGTTGCATAAGTCTCTGCATTACAGGTAGATAGAGCACGTCACAAAAACCCATGGGCTCCTACAGACAATTATTTCAAAATAATTGCAAGGAACAGCTCTGACATCTGGCATGCCCTAAATGAAATTAAAAAAAGATTCTTCTGTGCATTAATTCATCTATATGTCAAGAAATTGGATAGTTGAAGAGTTAGTATATTTTTATAAAGCAAGTGGGTAGAGAACTGTATTCATGTCCCCACACAGCAGGTAGGCAGATGAAACCATAAAGGCGGTAGAGAGAAATCTAGAGATACGGGTTATCATTTGTTAATATTAATAACACCTTGTACTTGAAAAGTACTTTCTTCCTCCAAACTCACATCACATACATTGTCTCATTGAATCCCCACCTCCAGTCTCCTTAGACCATTAGTTTTGTGAGCAACTCTTTATTAGAATAACATTCTCCTGCTCAGGTAAGAAAATGGTGAGCTTCAATATTGGGCAAATTAAAGGCCTAAATGAGGAGAGTCTAGAAATCAGTTTTCTGTTGATTATGTTCAATCTAATAAGTCTACGAAAACCTATTGACATTTACTATC